TGAGTAAATGCAATTAAGTAGCTTTATTCAACGCAGCATCATTATATCATTAGTTTGATTATACAGAAAAGTAAGCACGTGACTTAACGTTATTTTTAAGGCCATAGGTTTTAACCTGGCATTTAAAGCGGCATGGTGTTTAATGTGTCAAATTTAATAACTCCTAATTATGCAACATAAATGTAATTACAGTAACATATATATATACATATGTAGTTCACTGCAATTTTACATTACTGCAAAGCACAATAGTAATATACTATTATTACTATTAAAAAAAGGATGTCCTTAAACAATGTTCTTATTATTATTATTAAATTTCATAATAACGTTATATCAAACACGAATATAAAATCTATATTCTGTTTTCGAATAATTTACAACTTACAACCAAAGGAATAAAATATTGAATGAATATAGGACAGGTACATGACCGAAAACAATCAAACGAACACATCACATAGGTATACGTGTGTACCCTCTGTGTAACCTCTAGTCGAATCGCTAAAGGTCAAATAAACGGTTTTCTTAAACATCCAGGAGACCCGACTCCTGAGATCTTGTTTTATTTTTTAGCAATCCGACACTTCTCAGAACAAGGATCAGGGAGGTCGAGCACCAAATATTTTTTTCTGCTATTGTACACCTGTCTGTTTACAGAAACAAAAACTTATGCCTTATTCAATTTTAGTTAGTTAATACAATTGGAATTCAATTTTCTGAAGTAAATATTTTTCGCGCCGAGATATACTTATTTACTGTAGTAATTTACTTTTTCTTTTACATATAATCCACATATAATCAGGTGTTATGCCGTCCGGCATATAAACTCCTGAGAGCCTAGACAAAATGGCTTCTACCCTAATACAATATACACAATAGTTTAATCTATCGATAATGCACGCATAAAGAGAAAAATATGCCAGACGTTGCTGTCTCGTTTCATCTCATGCTCGTGGTTGTGATCGAATCGTTATCGATAGATTAGTTCGCTTTCGTTCGGTTGTCCAATATCTGTAGTATACCACTTACGGATAGTTTTGAAGTAACATAAATGTATCAATTCATCAATCACTACGGCAAGCTTGAAAATATATAAGAATTAGAACGCGACAAAGTGTTCGCTACCACACCCCTGGTTTCTGACTTGTACAGACAATGAACTTCCTTAAGGTATAAAAAGATCCGAATAATGACAATATTTATGGACATTATTTACCATAGTATTATTTATTTACTGGCACTTCTCTTGCATTAATACCGGAGGATAAGGAGCCTTCATGAGTCAGTTTAGGTCTTTCTTTTGATGTTGTAAGCGAGAGCAAGTTTTATAATATTTCTTGTAATGAGTTTTAAAAGTATCAACGTCCTCTAAATTAAACCTAACTGCCTTTGATATTTTTTTACAAAAAAAAATTAGTTTGCGATACTAGACGCAAGGCTGCAAGTCAAATCAGATTCATATGTAATTATTCAATCGAGTGCACAAGCACTGGGCGGGAGCATGGTAGAGCGCGGGTAGAGACGCTGGCGCAGACGCGAGACGGGCACCCGGCGGACAAGAGCAGGACGCGCGAACGCACTTCGAGACTGACAGTGAGCTGGCCAGGGTTGCCGACGGTGCTAGAATAGTCACGGATAGTGTGGTTTCAGAACATTTTCCTCCCACGTAGGATCTGATTGTGGAATGAGGTGACCTACCAACGATTTCTCTAGAGATGTGTATATGTATTTTTTCTCTAGATATATATATATACAACGCGACACCCTTGGTATTTCAGGCATAGGCAACTGTAATGCTTACCAACAGATAGACTGTATGGCAGACTGCCTCCATTATGGTATAAGAAAAAGGAATCTTCGTACAAGTTTTAGTGCGAGGGCATTTTCATGCTCGTACAAGTTTTTACGATATTTTGATCTATATTCATAAATCAGTCAAATTACAATATATACTATACAATATATATAATACGATATACGAGATTAAAAATTCAAATTAAGCTAATATACGTTATTTTGACCAGATGTTTTATTTCTTAGCAAGAGGCTAATTTTTTTAAAGTTGGTAACCCTAGATGTGGCGTAGCACGCGCTTTGCCCGTGATTGATCAACTACTTACTACGTAGAATGGCAAAATTATTCTTAAACTTTCCAATAAGGAAGTTCTTCAAAATGCAAATAAACTTTCTCGGTGTATAATTTTGTAGATTTAGAAAAAACATATCCATTATTAGTTTAATATAAGGTCATTGTTTTGAAATATAATGTAGCAGAATTCTGCCACAGCACCTTAATTATAGCCAAATACCTGACTAGGAGTTACTGACTGTGGAAATGACTCTTAGGATTCATTTTAAGAGAATATAGAGAAGACAAAAAAAATTTGAAAATAGATATTTGTTTGATAGCTAACACATACGTATTAAAAAATCTTTCAAGAAACAACGCATCGCAATGCGGTTACATCCTAAATAATTAAGCTAATCAGATTAGGTTTACATTGGTGAAATCATAGTAGGTACTCTGTTAATAATATTTAAACAAACACAAATATAATTAATTTTATGCTATCAAAAAAGAAAAATAAATTATAAATTGTATTAGAGACTGAACATTTTGTGACTTTGTATGTACGTGGTGGTTAATTTGTAACTTGCAATACTGACATATTCAGCTAATATATGAGCAGTTCGAGTAACAAACACTCTGATATGAGCAACCGAGCGTTCCCCCGTGCGTACTAGTTTTGCCGATCGTTATTATCAATGGTGTAGTATTGCTTCTAGCGTGTCCTCTGCACTTACACATCATACTCGCGTTGCAATACTTAAGCAGACACATTCGAGCCTCCATCTATAAATAGAACGTCCTCGGTGCATTATTTATCTATAAAAAACAGTCGTTTATACCATGATGTTAACAAAACGATAATATAGCACCCACCCTACACAATTCCTGGAATGGAATGGCACTTAACGAAAGGAAGAAGCTGATTTGCATTTTTATGAACAAGGAAGGTGAAGTCATCTTCATTTGGCTAAGTTGTTTAAGACTCTTTGCTTTGTTGCAAGTTAGTTTTATAAAAAGCTAATAACGGGCAAACTATAATTATATTATAAGCTATCCATCATCATCATCTACTTGTTAATATTGTGTTGTTGTGATAAAAAATCTATTTTCATTAATATCGGTACTTGATATGTACGTATAATACATTAAAAATAAAATAAATATGACTAAATACAAGTACGGATTAATTTTATGAAGAATAAACGAAATTACACGACTTTAGACATACTTTATTCACATCGTTCTAATCTTTTCCATCAAACTCGAATAACATTGTTACCACGTCCAGGGTTCCAATATGTAATACAAATATATCTAATTAATAGTACTAGGCAATTACTAAAGTTGGTTAATAAACAGGAAGAATAACGCTACAGGATGAAATACTAGAAGCCCATGACACATCAGTGTATAAGGATTTACTGGTGTAACAGTAAACACCAATGTTGAAGTTCACGTGAATAAGATCAAAATAATTAACTTTCCTTGATATACGATATAACATGTAGTAAATAAATGACTTATCGTAGGTACTTAAGCGTATAATCGCAATAAACAGTATTCAATAACAAGTTAATATCCTATTGGTAATAAAAAGTACCTACTCACTTACATAAGTTTCTGTCTACTAAGTACAATACTTACTTATTATTTTTACCAACAAATTTTGGTCAAGCTTTGGCGGCGTCAACATTTTTAGCAAATCCAATTTTAAAGATTAATAAAATGGGCTACGGTTTAAAGGCTTTTTAAGAAGGTTAAAAAAGGTTATATTAGAAAGAAATGAGAAATGATTCCTTTTTCTTAGTGCGAGAACAGTTTGTTGCTTTTTTTAATAAGGCGACAAAGTTGTATATCGATGAGATGAATAGTAGATATGTTAGTAAAAAAAATACAAACTAACAAATATTGAGTTTTAGATATACTGTAACTATAGATTATTTAATTTCACTATCTTTTTGTGCATGTTGATAGTTACACGATGTCTTCATCCAATCCATATCTTGCCAGTGGAATACTTTGTACAAAAGCCGTCTCATCTGTTTGTGCCGCCACTAGCTCCTGATTTGCAAGCTGTGGTCTGGTTACAAGAATAACATAGATATAACAGAAAAGTTACTAAGATACTTCCTAAGCCGCAGTGTTTCTCTCGATCGTTGTTATTGTCCTACCACATAGAATAGAGTTGGTTCACTTAATTTTTTTCCATTAGGGTAAGAAAAAAGTACTACCTTCATTTAATAAAAAGTGCAATATATTAATTCTGATGAAACGTAAAAGTGTTTCTTTTTAACTTATGTTATGATTATTTAATGATTACATTCTTTTACTATATATTCTTGAATAATTAAACGATGATACAATAATAACAACCGATTTATCGATACTATATAGTAGACTCAATGAGGCCAGTGATTTATACTGCCATTAGATAAAACATATATACTGTTTATTTCGTAATTCCAGGAATTATTCACCACTATCCTCTGAAAGTAGTAGTCAATTAGATTGGGAAAAATGCATTTCACTCGAAGTAATTCACTTAGGAAATGAAACAAAGTATAAGGGATCCCTATTCCTGTCTGCAGGGCGGCGGCGGTGTCACGTTACACCTTACCCTCTAGTATATAAGCGAGAATCTACTCGAATTACGCACATTTGTAGCTCACATTACATTGAAACAATATTAACAGTTATATGTACCTACCAGGTAAACTTATCGGCCACAAGTTAAAAATATTATTATACTGATAGTGAAATATTTTTATATCTTAAGAAAAATTTGCTCTGCCTATCTTGTTTAAAAAATATTTGATTTATTAACCACATTTAAACATCTCGATTTATCTCATTTTTGTACATAAAATATTTAATTCTTCCTTTTAATCTGTAGATGTAGTTTCAATTCATTAATTATTATTTTCAGAACATCAGAATGAAGAGTATGATGATAAACATACCATTAGCGGTGCTTGCGACGGCGTTACTGTGCCAGTCGAAAACAGAAGCTGCCACTACTGCTGTCAAGTTTTGCGGGCGCCAATTGGGCGAAATCATGAGCAGAGTTTGCCACGCATACAATAGTCCCTCTTGGGACGTACCTACTGGTGAGTATATATGGTATAAATACAATTTTCTTTTCAGGTTCGTCTAAATCCATAGAATTTTTTTTACTGTAAGTATATTTTCGCTATGCTGTGAATTTGATTAATTTTCTGAATATCATTCAAAGAAGTAATACAGCATACAGTAATACATCCCTTCGTGAGAAGAACCTCTCTTGAATCACACTAAAACCATTTTAGGCTCTTCGGTTTACTGATCCCTTGTGGATGGCATAGCTAATAATCTAAGCATAGTGTCTGGGGGCATCGTTTTAAATCAATCCCATATACTCTTTAGAAAAACCGACAACACCATAGTGAAGGAAATCTTCTTGTTATTTACCAAATTATTAGTAATTAAATTAGAAATCCGGGTTCGGCCATGTCGATGAAATAAATATACGTACATATCATTAATCACAAAAACATTTGACCTTGTACATTAGGTAAGGCATTGAATATTCTTTTAGGTGAATGTACAGATTTACAAGTTTATACTAGGTTACATAATACTCAGGATTTTATGTAAAGCCGGAAACAATCACGTAAATAGATTTAAAAACTATTCGTATGTTAACTGCCCACTGCTAGACATTAATCTCGGCCTATGGAGAGGACTCATGGTGAGGGCACTACTTCTACTTTATAGGAACCTACTAGAAAATTTGTTATTTCCAATACAAAAACATTAACATCCGCAAGGCAACACCTTTATCAATAACTTCCGAGAAGGTCGTCAGGATCATTACTCATAAGTACATTAAGCTAAATATATAAATAAAATATATAGGTATATGTCAACAACGATATCTAGTTCCTTTTAGATGAATCGACTTTGTATCGTTTATTTTCATATTTCACGCTACTTAATTACATTCCATTCGTGTTATCAGTAGTTGTAATTGTGACATTTGTGACATAATATTAAATTAAAGGCTACAAAAATGATTATAATATTAATTATAAAATTTGCAGGTACCATAAAAGTGCATATGTATATATATATATTATCTACCTGTTTATCTTTATTTCTAGACTAGCCTGTGATTTATATTTATAAAATACATAACATTTGAAATGTGATATATACATATACAGTGACAGCCTCGGTGGTCTAGTGGTTTAGCACACCGCTTTACTATCCGATGGTTCTGGGTTCGATTCCTCGCACGGCACAAACATTTGTATTTATGAGTATGATTATTTGTATTGGTCTGGGTGTTTTCTATGTATAATATGTATTTATTTACAAAAAAATGTATCCATGTATTTATATCAGTTGTCTAGTACCCATAACACAAGCTCTGCTTAGCTTGGGACTAGATGGCGCTGTGTGAATTGTGTTGAGATATTATTATTATTATTATTATTATATTTGGTAAGTAGTTTCATTTGCACCTCATAAGTATGAGTAAATATTTCCACAGGCAACATAATATAATTAATCATTTACAACATTCGTGATTTTAAATATGTATCTTTATCATTCCCAGTCAGAGATGAATGTACCGTAAACTTCGTATTTTAATCAGCAATAATAATGTTGATAAATCCGTGTTAAAGTACATATAATATACACATACAGCAGATAGTTAAACAAGATGGGCCTACATAAATAATATACAATAAAAATATACCTTACCACGACTGTTATCTTACACGAGATAGTTAGAGGAATTTCAAGGTTCGTGGCCACATTTCAAGGCATGGGGGTCGAAGTTGGGTAGTAAATGCTCTCGCCTCAAAAATGTAAATATGAGTTAAGTACTTCCCCATACATAAATAAAAAGAAACATGTGAAATTCAAGTAAACGCACATAGTGGGCAAATTATTTATTTAAATAGATAATGTAATAAATTACTTCGGGGTGAAACTGTTTGGTACTAAGGCTATTTACCGCCATACACTAGAATAGTGACTATTTAGTAGGTATAAACAAATTTTATTTAATATGTTGGCCCTTATAGTTTCTCCATAATAGAATTATAAACTATCTAGTATTTGATTGTTTCACTATCATTGTGACCCTTTGACTCTACCTCTAATTATACAGCAAAAACAAGCTTTACTTACATAAACGATATTTAACTGTGACCTTTTAAGTCGGTAATTAAAATAAATGTTATCTACTCTAGTAATAAATAAGTATTAATAAAAATCATGTCTTAGAAATCATTTGTCATTCAGATTTTTTATATTATGTTCCGGTAATTTGCTGTAAGTAGGTATAATTAAGTTTTAATACGGGAAGTCAGCTGTTATACATGTTTCTTTTTTCAAATTACTTCAAAAATTAGGAAGTTTTTATTTAACTATGCTTTTTTGCGTACATAATATGATATCGGTAGTACCTATAAATTATAAGTTTATGTTATATTTATGAAAAATATTTTATATTAAAAATGTTATGTAAATTGAAAATTACATCACGAGTGGGTTGGGTAAAAAATTCTTGTCCAGAATATACGAGTACACACTTATAATAGAGATGTAAAACATTACTTCATAATGATTTACTCACATTTCTGTTTAAATCGGGTATATTCAGAAATACCGTTCCGTATGATTTTATATTAAATTCTATAAATCTCATACTTAAATACATTTTTATGTAACCGTAACGTATTTTTACTGAAGGAAAATAATTGATTCATATATATTTTTGGGAATATCGGTTTCTCGACGGGTAGAGTAGCGGAATTTACTTCTAGTAAGCAATTGTCTCTTGATAAATATTCTTATATTCAACTCATTAATTTTCAAGTATTTTTTGTTATAAATTATAAATTAGTTTGTACAACTCAGCGATATGATAAGACTGAATGTTCATAATTATATTAATTAAGACTTTTTTAACTTACCTACAGAGTTGAATCTGGTAATTTAAGATTTATCCAAGAGGCAAAAATAGTTTGTTAACTTTGAAAACATAAGAAGTATGTTATTCAGATCTACTTATACTTGTCTTAATTATAATATACGAGTAGGTACCGACAACAAGTTAATTCAATTAATTAATTATCATGAATATGTTTGTATGTGTCCATCATGTAGTTAATTAATTATACATGTATCTATGTATATTTTTTATTATTATAATTTTTTATAACGTAAAGTTCTAACGTCTCTCTCTCTATCATAATATGAGGTAGAATTCGAAACTTCCTCTTTAAAAAACTTAATTATATTATTTATGAATTAGGTATAAAAATACATATATAAGTCACGACACGTCCTGTTAGCTTCTTAATAAATCACAAATTTATTTATTTAGCAATCTACACAGTTTTAACAATATAATTTATTGTAGGTACACTGTAGGATAAAACAAATTTCAAAAATTACTCTAATTTTTTCTGTTAGACTATAAGAAATCCCGACAGTAGGTACGAATAGGCACAGATAAAATAATATTACATAGTACCTAGGTATATGTAGGTACCTAAGCACAATTCACAAGTCACGAATATATATTATATGAATAAAACATATTTGACCGGCTTACTTTTGGTGGTACATGGATCAATTCCTCGCATACGATACAAACATTAGGTAGTAGTCCTGATTATGATTGTACAAATTGGTCTGGATGTTTTAGATCTATAATATGTAGATATAAAACATCCAGACCAATTTATATTACAATACAAGTATTTCTAACAGTTCGTTAGTACCCAGACTACAGAATTTGCTTGGTTTTAGACTAGATAGATATCTTAGGTATAGGACCTGGGTTATTATTATTATAAAAAAACACATTTATTATTATTTTTTAATATAAATTTATGTGAATTGTTACAGTGGTAGAGCAAACGGGTGCCGTGGTGCGGCGGAAACGGCAACTAGGCATAGCAGATGAATGTTGTACAATAGGATGTACATGGGAACAACTTAGTAAATATTGTTCCATCAGTGCATAGTAAGTATCAAATATTTATAATGTCACATCATTAGCATTACCTATTAAAGAAGAGTGGTAATATTGTAGTAGGTATATCTAATAATATAGACCACACAGGGTTGCCTACTATAGTCAATTTAGTTCTAAAGATAGTAAAGTTTGTAAAGATAATGTTTTATACTAGTAGGTTTAAAACATTATCTTTACAACCTTACTTATTTTAGTATGTAAATCCGAAGACTGCCTTAATCTATTAATTCTAATCACTGTATCAAATCGCAACGGGAGCCTAAGATTTAAAATAAATCAAAACTAAATACGTAAAAAAAAATTGTGAAACAAATAAAAGGAAAAAAAAAACAAATCACTTCGTCTACTGCTTGCTTAAAAAATAGCGCTTAGTACTTTAGTTGTTCCCTTTCAGTAAGTTAACCTTTCTTTGCCTATATGATATTTTAGAGTACGAATTATATTTAATCCACAAGTCATGGATAACTTAGCATTAAATTATCAGTTTACAGCAATGAATTTGTATATTTCAGTTCCGAATCTCCCCTGGATGACTTAGAAGCGCATATGATAGCAGATCGTTCGGCTGAACAGGATGGACCATCAGCGCCAGCGATGTTGGGCACGGACAGCACAGCAAGCAGCAGCACAGGCTCAGCTCGCACAGGAAGGGCCGGCTCGGCGCGGCGCGAGGTGGGACGCGCTCGGAGTCGCGGGTACGGGCGCGCTCGGGCACGGGGCCGCCGGTGTTGGTGCCGGCGCAAGCGCCGCTCGGGCCGACGGCGATCCACTCTCATGGGTAACACGGTGTGTCTATCCATCGACGCTAGATTGTTCTCTCGTTTATATTACAAATAATTTTATTTGGTTATATAATTCGTCGATGTAGGTACATGACGATGATAATGATCGAACGAATTTTCTAATTTCAATACAATTTTATAACTACACCATCATCGCTTTTTCTTGATTGACTATTAGAATAGAATAGAAGGTAATTTATTTGTACCTACAAAAATATGAACGCTTTGTAATTATTATTTATATAATATAATAATTACAATAATTATTAGTAGCATAAAATAATTATTTTATGGTACTTTAATTTAGAATAAATTTTTAATAGTTAGTCGTATCAATCTAAATATATTATGAATTTGATTTTCGAATTATTTCATCATTTGCAAGTGGTGTAGAGGAACGTGTCGTTATAATCAGGAAATACAAGAGAACAAAAAGGTGTCGAGAAACTAACCCTCATATTAACGCTTACAGCATGTATACTAATAACTAATAAGGTAATAACTTCCAATAAGAGGGATTAGGCTATTTATTGGATATCTAACTATAGGGAAATTGGAAACATGGTAGTACCTAACCATAACAAATTCTACTTTTAATAGCGTTAGGTATATATAAAACGGGACACTAAAATGTCTCATTTTCGGACTCCGCAAAAATTTGTGAAGTCGAGCGTGTTGGTTCTGATGTTGATAATTAAGGTGAATATTGAAAAAACGTGCCGAGAATGATAAAGATTTCACTAGCTATATTAAATTAAATTTGTTTCTGCAATAATACTTTAGTTTTAGGCTAACCATCTCTGAATAAAGTTTTAAGAAAATGTTTTTTTCATTGACTGTCTATTAACTGACATAAATAATGTTTTGAGTCAAAGAATAAATGGTCACGTTAGTTATACAATACAATGTATATCATTTAACAAATTACCATCATTGTGAATATTTACGGACTTTATCATTTTCTACGTGCATTTTAAATTATCTGTTAAAGTAATTAATACTTGCTAAAACTCTTTATTTTTAAAGAAATGTTTGAAATATAAAAATATCTATTTATAAAACAGATTTGTTACATTAGTTTTAAAAAGTATCGTAACCGGAAAATATGTGCAATATTTTCGGGTTATCTCTAAAACAAAGTCATATAGGTACCTATTTATGACAAACGTGAGTTCTATTTGGAAACAATTTCCTTTTGCAGGTATAAATCACAAAGACATATGAGTTACATACTCGCGTATGTACGTTGCGTATGTAGTGATTTTTTCATCTTTTTAGATGTAAAATCACTACAATTTAATAAGATTAGGTATAGTTTTTTTGTTGGCAATTAATAGTATGTAGTAGCAGTTAATTATGTCCTATAGAGATAAATTGGTAGCACCCTATATATTCATATTCGATTTCGCAGTCGCCGGGTCATCATGTAACAGTCTTGTTGTCTACCCTTGCTCTAAAATAGCCATACAATCCCATTTTAATAAGTTAATAAATAGCATACTTACACGCCTACACTAAATAAATTAAACAAGCTTACTTCTCACTTGGGGCCAGTAAAAATACTATTTCATCTCATTTCTTGGGTATTCATTTTACTGTTTCTCATGCTATGGAGTAGCTATTATTATTAAAGTGAAATAAGACAATTATAAAGTGTGATTATCTATAGGTCTACTCTTGCGTCTAATTTTAATCAAACCCTTTTCGATACCTTTAATTTGTAACCTAATACCACGATATAAGTAAATAATATATTTCTAGTAGGTATACAAAATCCAATTTTAATGGCGAGCGATAGTAATTGATTTCAAGAGTAGACCGGCTATACCAGTTACAATTACCATTGACTTATTTTATATTTTGTTGCAGCGCCTCGTAAAAAGTGTAGCCCGCGCTGCGCCCGTGGTAGGCACCGTGTCGCCCCTTCTAACATGGGGCCGGACTCTAAACACTGACTTGCCGGCAGCGGACCAAGACCGGTACGCGTACATTGCAGTCTATACATAATTAATTTGAGTGGTCGACAGGAGAAACAGCACATGAAACATATTCTAATTTCGAGGAGTATAATTATATACATAATTATTATTATTTAGAATTAATAAAAATCCGTGTTCATTTTTAATTAGATTCCATGGCTTGGTGGATTATTTTGCTCTGGCTATGTGAAAATAGGATAAGAATAATGTGTTCCGTGTAACATATCAATGTTTAACACTTATTTGTGACTGTTAATAGTATCTGAACACATAACTTGTCTATATATGTCATATTTTTGACAAATATATGTATCTATGTCAAAAATAGTTATTAATTTTCTACATAGGACTTCACAGTGTATAATAATTAATTCCTGTTTATTACTACTATTTTTCAGGTAACATAATTTATTAGGGGTTTTCGAACAAAAGCCATAGCATATTATTATAAAAAAACCGTCAATATCAGATTAATTTATGTAAAAGTTATATCTTTATGTGTTAATATAATATGTATTAATAGAACATAATATAGAGACAATTATTAAACAACTAGTAGTTAGTAATGACTTGTTAAACGTCAAGTTAATGGAAATATAATTTATCCTTTCTTTGTATAATACTACCATATTATTATAATAATTGTTTTATACATTTATTTAAAGCTTTTTATACTTAGGATTTTTACTCATATCATCTACCATATAAGATTTAAAGATCTCTGAAGCATCTGTGATAATTCAAATGGATAAAACATTAATTTATGATTTTTTTTTAGTTAAACATAAGTAACATGCATAGATTAGAGAATTTCCTTGCCATGGCCTTTGCCATTATAGCGTTTTTAAGTTGTATATAAAGTTGCGTAATAATTGTGACTGATTAAATGAACACAATATTAAATAATTTAAAAATATTTTGTGTATTTTTACCAACATTATTACAGAAACATTTACATGTAAAACAAAGTAATTTGATGTAAAATAATTAAATATGTAGTATTAGCACTAAATAACAATAGCCGTTTCATTTATTTATTTGTTCTTGTTAGAATAATATTTATATAACCAAATACTATCTACATTATCACAACGACGATCAAAAGTATTTTGTTTAGTTTTCGACAAATATTGCTTTAGAAGAATATATTTAGTTGATAATATTACAATGATAATGACGGCTAGTCATAGTGGACCTTTATTATTATCATTTTGACTATTATTTACATCATTTGTGGAATCTGTGCTGCTCTGTTTTATTGGAAGCAATTGAAATCTTAAACTATTTCCTTTGTTCCTTTTTTGAACTATTTTTCCAACCGTTTTTATATTGTTTTCTATAACTGAATATAGCCTCTCCTGTAACAAAGTAAAGATATTGATTAATTAAATATTATTGTTCAAAAAGGTATTTTCTGTTCTCCTATTGGTTATAGCCTCTTACAGTATTCATCAAAAATCTATCCAGAGAAAAAAACATAGTACTATAGTCAAATATTATATATCTATATAATTTAATATTAATAATAAATAGACAACCTCAGGGGTTTCATCATCATTTCATGGTCTCACTGAATGATCCTTTTTGATTCGATGATCGGATTTGATTCCTCACATGTGATGCAAACATTTATAGTTATGACTACGATAATTCCTATAGATCAGGGTGTTTTCGATATATTTTTATACTAGTGGTTCCCCTTGGCTTCGCATAGATATTTAACAAAAATGCCAAAATTATAGTGGTAGGAATAATGGAGCCTAGTTTCTACCTGCATTACTATTGCATTTTTAACACAAAATAGTATTGATTGTTACATAACTGTAATAGTTAGACATATGGTATCAGGACTCTTTTATAGATATTGATGTTGTCTTTAAAACTGACGAACATCACTTTGTTGTAGTGTCAATAATTTGTGGAACATAGGTATGTTAATTTTATATTTTTTTCATATGTTGGGTTACATTATTAAAGATTTCTTATGGATCTCTAACATTTTTGAAGATATTCTATCACCTATGTTCATCTGGACAAATATAGGATTCTAATGGTAAAAGATTTTTTTAAATCAGTTCAAAAGTTTTGGAGCCTATTTAATGCTAACAAACAATAAAATTTCTCCTGTTTACAATATTAGTATAGATATATTTACAAAAAAAAAGTAATAAATAGTTAAGTACATATTTCTATCAGTTGTCTAGTGCTCATAACACAATAGTTGCTTGGGACTAGATGGTGCTGTGTAAATTGTCCAGGTTTATCCAATCTCCTGTTTCAGTACCTAAACCTTACATTTATGGATCTACTAGTATTACTTGGTATATCCAAGTAATTCTAGTGAGATATTATATTTTCTAATTAGTTGGATTTTTCCACAAAAATCATGTACATAACAATTATAAACATTATTGTTACTTTTAAAGTAAACCTAATAATGAAATTTATGCTCACAGAATTGTTTGAAGTCCGCTCATCCTCACCGGATATGACTACCTTAACCTCATGCTGTTTTTCTAGTAGTTTTATCATCTTTTTAACCCCAGTCATTAGATCATGATCTCCTATCTTTGTTGACAAACTTAACAGTTTAGCTTGTTTTACAACATTTTTCTGACGTGCCTCCTGTTTCTCTTTACGCCTCTCTAAATCCTCTGAGTGGTAGTCAGCATTAGTCATTAACCTGAAATTAAAATTCAAAGAAGCTGTTTTGGTACCATGACATCAAATTATTCTGTATTAAAGAAAATTTGGAAACCCAATATTAAAAAACTGCTTTATTCTAGTCAATTATCCTTACTCCTTACTAATATTACAATTGCGAAAGTAAATCTGTATGTCCCTCTTTCTCACTTTGACACCAAAACTACTGAACTGATTTGAATGAAGTTTGATACCCATATAGCTTAGACCCTGAAAAAGGACATAGGCTTCTTTTTAATGGGAAGAAAGAGTTGTAAGAGGTTGAAAGAGGAGATGAAAGTTTGTATGGATGTATCATCATTTTTATAGTTAGAACAATGAAACTTTTTTTTGGGTTTGCTAGCAAATGCACATAAGCAACAATCATGGATAGAGAAGCTTCCACAGACTAAACCCCCCTTTACAACTAAAGAAATACAGTGCTATTTTCCTTTAGTTATATAATATTAATGTACTGCTTGCTCATACAATTGACACAAAACTTAATAATATATTAATGTATATCGTACCTGTAAATAGGGCGTCTGGTTTTAGAATCAATATCCTGAACTTTAACCAATTTAAGGTCACGTCGTAGCGATAGACTTTCAGCATTCTTAAAATCTGTAATACTAACAGAATTATCAAGTCCTATTAATGTAATTCTATTTTCAAAAGTTTTCCTCTTAGGTATTACTTTTCCTTCAACTGTGAGTTTAGTAGATGCAAATCGACAACCAAAGTACCCAAATAATTGTCTAGATTCAAATAGAGTAAAGAATTTATTCATTTTTAAATAAAAAAAAATTACTTCAGGATACTTTCATGACCATGATGACAGAATTAGAACTGTTTTATATTTCAATAATTGTTGGATTTCGTATATATACCAATTCCTTAGTATATTATTTAAAAATAATAAAAGTATAAATTAGTTAATATTCAATCATTCAAAGAAAACACACTTTCAAAATTTATCATAAACATTCACATAATGTCCATGTCAAATATTAAATTTATGGTAATTGTTCAGTAAATGGTATAATCTGTGGTTTTATCAAAGAATGAATTGAACAAATCAGTAGTAGAGACACAAGCCCTATTTTTTCTTTTTTGTATATTGCTAAAAGTCATAGAGAGATCCTATATTATAATATTATCATGTAATATGTAAAAGCCTTTCTCTGCAATGTTTCATTCGATATAGTTCACTGTTCGACAGTAGTCATGATTAATTTTACTAGATATACTGAATTCTATATAATTTATGTTTACTGTTAACTAAACTTAAACTTACGTATTGTTTAAATTAATAATAATTATCGGAAACAAGTATTGAAATACATATCGTAATGATTAGTAAAATGTCAATATTTTCCGGTAAATCACGATGTTGTTTTATCGATTACAAAATATCGATATTTTGTCGTTGGGTATCGTTCACAGCATCGCTGACTAGACGACTCTACTCTGTCATTTTGTTTTGACAGCTTGAGGCAAAATGGTTTGTATTTCTGCTCTAAAATAAAATCTATGTTTATTTCAACAATCTTGCTATAATTTATATTACTAATTATTCTATTTTTTCTTAATTATTTTCAGTCGGCCCATAAGACATTTATTATTAAGCGAAAACTAGCTAAGAAGCTCAAACAAAACAGACCTATTCCCCAATGGGTTAGAATGCGCACTGGGAACACTATTCGGTAAGTAGAAATAATTATATTTTATATAAACTTAATTTTATAGTAAAAATCACTAAAAAATGTGAAATATCTGTACCTAAAAATTCAATTTGTTCTATTGAATGTAATATTTCTGCTTATTTTCACGGCCTATTTATATTATCATACGCTGTATTACTCTGCAGCAGTGCTAATATAAACCCCTTTTTACGGTATGATAAAAGGTACCTCAAAGAAAATCAATTGTTTATTTACTATATAAAAAATATGATCATACTGATAAATTTTGTTTACCGTGCCAACTAAAGACCATACTTTGTAGAACACAGCCCCACAGTATAATCTATCATTTATACAAATAAAAAACGTTTGCCTTATATATGTAATTAAAGTGGACTCCCAGTTATCCGACAAATTCGATTGTCGGTTTATAGAGGGGGTCCCCTATAGTCCGGAATTTTTTAAAAACGAGTACCTTGTAATCCCACAAATTACAGGTCCAGTGCTAAGATTCTGTTATATATGTATGTATGTATAAGCACTCTAAAGTACAAATCACTTCATTACGTATGTCAACTACTAAAAGGTTCGTTACGAAGTAGGCTATCTAAAATATCACATTTTTCTTGAATTGTCACTATTTTATGCTTTCGCTTCTGAGCTGATATGTAATACACAATGAATAAACAGTAAACAATTAACACATGTTATACCACACCACTATCTTTAGCATATGTAAGTAGTCAAATTCAAACTAAGCAATCATAATCAAAATAATACCCTACGCGTCGAGTACAACAGTGGTGATGCATACAAGTTCAAATTTGTCCAATCATGCATTAGCGAAGATTGTGTAAAAAATAATAAATAATAGACCCTGTCGGATTACAAGGGGGGCCGGATTACCGCGTGTCAACTGTATATACTTAAGTTCAGTGTGTGTGTTATGTATTATAAGGGTGGATGTTAAAAAGTTTAATAAAACATTGACATTAATGAACAACAGTTTATATAATCTATATTGAATAATATTTTCTTTGTATAAATCAACCAAATTAAGTAAAACAAATTTTAAGAAAAGTTACATGAAATATGTGTATGGATACTTCTAATCTAATAATTCAATATTATTTCAGGTACAATGCTAAGAGGCGTCACTGGAGGAGGACAAAACTCAAGCTTTAAGCTTCTTTCTATGTCCGTTATCTAATAATTAAATTTCCTCCCAAAACTACAAATTATTTCATTTCAACATGTCCTAATTTCTTGCATTTTTCATGCATTGTACACACTATATAAAGGAGATATTTACCATGACAATACTTTTATGCAGTAGTACCATTGTTGGTGTTAACATTAATTAAACCGTATTTAATTCATTTTCATAGTCCATATTTAGGTAGTTATTATTATAGTCATGGCTGATAGATAATATTTCACTAAATATATTGAAAACCATTATGTAAATATTTTAACTTTAAATTATCTATTTTCTTATTATAAAATGAAACCTCTGAGAGGTTACCTTTTTTTTATCGATATTAATGAAATTAAATTTAATACTCTGATGAGCCACCAGTGGCAGTTGTTGGAATGAACATGAAGTCAAAGGAGATTGTTAGTTATGTGAAATGATGAGCTCTGCTCAATGTATCATGTCTGGTTAACCTCCACGTGGTTCCCCCTGGAAACAATCGTGATAAATTCATACTGAATTTTTATTATCCACAAAAAATATACATGGTGTCAGATGGGTGATATGACTAGTGAATTCACAATAAATTAACCACCATAATTTCCAGACTGTCCGCTTGGATGGTGCATTGGTAGTCCCTAATCTTAACAATCGTCTCCCTCTAAAACAGGACCCTTGACCAATGACCTGCCAGAGGTCACTTATTTTTTATGGATGAAATAATATGTATGCTTATCGACTAGTTATACCAGACGGTCGTTTTTTAGATATCAGGTGCTCACGGTGCATAAAAATAAATAATTGGTAATTTCACCTATTCTGCCCGATGTTTACAATTTGTAAGTCTGGATAAATCATAGAGCGCCATCTAGTACTAAGCTAAGCAAAGCTTGTGTTGTGGATGCTAGACATTAGACTAGTGTTTTTTGTAAATATAATATTAAATTTACAATATAATGATTATTATAATATTGGTCACGGTGTTCTGTGTATATAGAAGAACACCGAGACCAATACAAACAATCATACGTATGAATACAAATGTTTGTATCGTGCTAGGAATCAATTCCGCGATCTTTTGAAGTATAGGCATGTGATAAATCGCTGGACGGCTAAGGCCGTCACCTCTATATGTTAGCTAAACAACTGACTATTTACAAACTGCCAGATCTAGTCGGGCCAAACGGCAAACCCAATTTTAATTTCGCTGTAAACATGGGCATTAAGGCATTGGATACAATGAATTACAATGTCTAATTTATGCTACTAAATAAATTCGTATATCGAAATAAGTACTTTTAACTGCTTTGGTTTTTAAAGTAGACAAAATTTGTCCATTACAGTATTGTATAAATAGTTTGTCATAACTATAAGAACAAAAATGTCTGGTCAAACTAGCGGTTAAACATATGGTTACACTGTTGGGTAAATAATTTTAAAATAAGTTATGACTACAAAAATGAATATGCCTGAGCAAACATACAGGTAAACATAAGACAGTGAATATCAGAAAATAAATGAGATCGGGATGGATGTTGGTGTGTAAGGTATTGATATGAGTTTTATTATGCCCCTAGTGTTGACATGTCTTGTTCAACATAGAATATAATATATTATACAAAGAAAATTATAGACCTAAGATTGATTGCGCTCCCTTAAGATCATATATCAGATGTTCTGTAATATTCGATCATTGTGAAAGGTGCATTCTAACTGAGTAGTAGGAAACGTTTTATTAAGTTAGAAAAGTATACAGTGAAGGATCCTGAGAATTACATTCCGTATATGTTGCACGACATGATTAATCCGGCCTTGTAATTAACGCGTATGGTAACTGAACACAGATAACAATTTAGGTAAATTATACTAATATTTTATGTAGGTAATAAAAATCAATTTAATATCACTGCTTTATGTACACAATAAATATACATAAATAATTTCAATTACAAGTATCCATAAATTATTCTGAGACAATCTTACATTATCACAATACCTATTAATACTGAAATGCACTGGGGTATAAACTTAATCCCATTGAAATATGAAACTACTCTGTCAAGTGGTGCCTTGTGAGTGGTTTATCGTCGTGTCTTCTTTTTTTATTTCAGCTGATTGTGCTAGTAGATCCTCTAGTAATAAATCATTGTCAATCAACTCCATGCTTCCTGTTTGCTGAAATAAATATAGTCATGTTAAGTATAGCGATAATGAATTACATTAAATATTACAAAAGTAGAATTAACTACCATATGTAGACCTGTATGTGACAAAGTTGTCTATGTAGATACATGTCTTACCCATTTCAAACAGCCCCCCAAAAAATTGTAAGCTGTGTTTCGGTTAATGTAATTGCATTGAAACATGGCAATCAAATTAGACGATCCGTAGGCAATGTCTAGTTCTCCTAAATGGTAATGCATACATCGGACGTCATATGATGACATGATATCACATTATAGCCGTAGTGCTCTTTATGTATAAGTACATGGGACAGTTGTCACCTGATAGTAGGTGACAGCTGTCCCATGTACTTGTTAGTTATTCAAATACGACATAAAAAATCCCTATTAATGCTCTGCTCTCTCTGAAACAATGCTCAGTCAGTTTCAGAGCAAGTGTTAGAACACATACTTAAATTTTAATGTTTTTTTTTTCTATTTATGTATACTGTACTTTACGTATAATTCACTCCAACTAGGGATAAAATATTTTATAAACCAAAAGAATGTTAAATTAAATTTTGGTTAAATAAAATAACCAAATTTATTTTACGCAATATTACGATTTTAGTACGCAATATAAGAATTCTAATAAAATTTTATGTTTTATTTGCAATGGAATAATGCGTTAATTCCAGACAAATTTTATTAAATATAAAATATTCTACCAAGTTCGTTTACATAACCAATACCATATAATTGTACAGAAAATCTTTATATTAAAAGTTACGTGTCACGTAGTTTATACGCGATGGACTCCTAAACTACTGAACCCATTGCAAATTTGATTTGCACATTATGTGCAATTTGATCAAACTTGAAAGATAGGATAGTTTACATCTCAATTTATAGTCGCAATATTATTTAACCTTAGCCACAGCAACGCGTGGCCGGGTCTGCTAGTATAATATAAGTAGTTGTGGACTTCACAAAACACTGATCATAATGTGAGTGGTAGTTTACTGACAATATTCACCTGCTGTGCACTGACTGAGCGCGCCATTAGTTTCTGTAAATATTTATCACGACGTTCCTGTTCCCTTATACTTCTCAGTCGATCAAAATCATCCATATCTGGATCATCACCTCCATCTGCTTCATCCACTAAAAACACAAGAACCTGTTAACTTATATATATGTATATTTAAATAGTTTCTAGCTTAAATTGTTACATAAAAATTGCATTTATTTTTAATAAACAAGAAAAATTAAGAAAATGCCCTAAATTCATATTATGTGTATATATAATATATAATTAAAAAATAGTACTGTCTAGTCATACTTAGTCAAATTAAAGAAAAGTGTCTAAACTAGCAGTTTTTAAGTTTACAATCGTTTTAATTAGAAGTAAATCCTCTATAATAGTAGGCATGCGATCGAAAATACAGTATGGGTAGAATGAGGTTTATTACACAAAGTCTGACTGCCGGCAGCGCTGAGCGAAGGCCCCACGTCGCTGTCAAGGCGTGGGCGCGACTCATCGCCAATACTGGGGAATGATGGCTGCGTGGTGAGAGACTGCGCCGCCGGACTCTTGTCACCCGCCTCGTTGACCACTCGCGACCAGTTCGTCGGTGCCGACGTAGACAACCGAGTATCTACAAATATCATTACCATATATTTACAGTAGCACACCAAATACAGCTGACAATACCGTTGAATATGGAATGGGTGAATTTCATCAAAATGAACACCAGTATTGAATTAAAATTTATTTTTCTCAAGACCATTATATAACCACAAAGAAATTATTGTTGATACGGGTTTTCTGGTCAGCAAGTATATATTTATAATTCGCTGGTCGCATACAATTATCTATTTAGCCACTGTTTCGCCTTTTATTACGCCACTACACATTAATTCAATAATGTTAGGCTTTAAAGTCAACCGAATTACAGTTTCAGATGGTTTTTCTTTTTAATATAGACCACCCACGTTGTCACTGTAAAAGCACTGGTTTATACAGCTGAATTTGTTATTCCTATTTTTTATGAACTAAAATGTGATGGCTGAGTATCCTGCAATTTCCGTTTTCCCACATTTTGGAATAATTAAATACAACATATTATATTATACTTCAATACAATAGTGAAATACTACTGGGTAATGTATCTTTATCTTAATATAAGGTCGCAAAGGTCTTCATTCTAATGGACTATTTTGCAAGCTTCATGAACTGCAATGGCAAAATATATCCCGACTGTCATTTGATAAAATGACTAATTACAAATAAGTACTTATATTGGAGAACTTATGTTGTTTGTTGAACAATCGGATTGTAGTGTATGATTCATAAATTGTGTCATACGTTTCTAATATCAATCTAAATTGTTAATGTGATTTGCAATATTTTAAGGCAATAAGTGAATAGACTTATCTGGTATAACAATAACAAGTACATAAACCCAAATCGTTAAAAGAATAAAACCACCACATATGGAATTTATATGGCTTCTGCTGGTCTATACTTATTTATCTATAGGAGATGCGGTTACAAACTAAGCCTGAAGAAATTACATTATCTATGACATTTTAAGTGTTCAATATACTTTAGACACTGGCATTCTTACTTGTCCCACTACATTGAAACCCCTAAAAGGCAAACTCCAAATATATATCATAACGCATCAAAAATTGCTTTGTATACAAGTAATAACAGACTTACTAGAACTGTGATTTGAATTTCTCGATGGAACGTTTACTGGTTCGCTTGGAACAGCCGCCTTTTGGAAAAGACTCATTGCTGTGGGCCTGAAACAATAAAAGTCTACATTATAACAATGTATAACCATAACCATATATATTAATAATAAAATATAAGAAAGATCATGACAATGCTTGAAAAAATAAGTAAGACCTAGCTGAAATCAGAACCAGCTAAGTAAGTTGACCAAGATAGGACACTACCAACGATTATATTAAAATTCACTCGAATCTTCCATAGACTCAAAAACTTCAATAAATTAATTAAATTATGTATTTATATATTTTATATAAAACGGCGCAGGAGATCTGTAATGTACAGAGGCACCAACTACATGGGCTATAATTTATAATAATAAATAGTCTATATGCATCATTTGTGCTCCCAACGTCCACCCTTACACGGCGATCGTGACTGGACTGTCCATCCTTACACTCCATCGTCTAGGGATTTAGCACATCGCCTCACTACTGATGGTGGGGGTTCAACTCCTCGCACAATGTGAACATTTGTATTCATGAGTATGACTTATTTAAATTATTAACCGGGTCTTAACACGAATAATTTTATGGCAAATATCTGTATAATGTGTTATTGTATATTTGTCTAGTACCCATAATACAAGTTCTGCTTCGCTTGGGGCTGAGTTCAGTTTTGATGGGTCGTGTAAATCTCACCTGTTATCTGATCGCTTGCCCATGCTTGTTATAGTGGTTTGTTCGTCAACTTCTTCGATTACTTCATTAGCTATTTTCATACTACCACCGCCTGCAGTGGTCGGCTTATTAAGGGTCGGATTACTTGCAGATATTGTAAACCTTGACACTGAAAATTTTTAAATCATACTTATATTTACATCATTACAAAACGTGATTATTTTATATGCAAACAATTTCTTTCTCTTAGGCATGGCCAATGCGTATAAATTATAATATGAAATAACTATATAGTAATAAAATTTTGAAATAATCAGTAATATCACTATGATAAACTACTAAAATATTAACATATCATGACTACTTCTATTATTGTTATGAGAATATAATATTTTTATTAAAACCCACCTCCATCGGGTTGCGTCGAGACCGTAGTGGAGCCTTGTCGTTGATCTTCTTTTGAAAACAATCTTTTCAACATTGAAGTAACAGAATTAGCTCGGGTCATGGGAGTCTGTTGCAATGAGACCATCGAATTCATTGATCCCATAGAATTTCTATCTTCTTTTTTTCCTCGTCTGCTTCCTCGCGATACGATGAAGTGTATACCGGAAGCAGCGTCATCATTCATTTGCAATTGCTATATAAACATTGAAAGTTTAGGTATTAGTTTGTACATTATTAATTATAAGTTTTTTAGTTATTTAATTGTTGTGGTTGTTAAATAGATAAATATTAAAAGCAATAGTAATGAGTACTGTTATGATAAATAGAATATAAGTGACCAGTAATATAAAATAGTAGTTATTATTTGATAATAAGTTTATTGGATTGTAAAACTATATCTGTACTTAGAATTTACCATGTAGCAGCAGATAAAGTTTCCATCAAAAGCTAGGAAACAAACAACACTATACATTTGAAGAGAGATTTTTGCCATCAAAACATTAATCTATACAAGATAGTACATGAATATAGTAAACACAACACGAAGGTTATTATACAAGGCTTTAAGTGTACACTGAATACATATATGTAACACACCTAGCCATTAGTAAAATAAGTAACTACCTATAAGTTAGAAGGCAAATTAGCAGTATCGCATCAGAAGTTGTTAACTAAGACTATATTATATTATACACAAACCTTTACCTTTGTAAAAACAAAAACACAATGAAACTATTCTGTAGACTGAGCAATAGATTAATTTATATTATGTAAATTATTAGTTAATATGGGTCTATATATAATACTAATGTATCTACCAAAATTGTTAAGAATATAACTACGTAAAAAATATATATTCTAAAAACCACCAGTTAGTTAAGAATACGTCATACGTTAATCAGAAAGGGCTGCCAAATATTTTCTTTATAAAACCCGTACATGCTTAAAATAAATAGTTTATCTACGTCACACTAGTTAATCTACACGATAGTTAACAAAGCCTCTGTACTACCCTACGCGTGATAGGTCGTTGACAGCATATACGTTTTTTTTTATTTTTCATATACTTAGCTTCTAATTTATTACCTCATGATGGCATCGGCATAGCTACAATTTATAGTCCAACAAGGAAGTCATATAAATATAATATTATAGTCTAATAAGGAAAAGTTATTAAAACGATAAGATATAAAGATTGGTATCTTCCAGTACCTAAGTATAATAAAATTACTAATAATTTAAATATAATTTAAATTAGTAGTAATTTTCTATATAACTAATAATTAAGCGACTACTACTGAAGCAAATTAAAAATTGAAATTGAATGTCATGAAAATGAGATTGAATCTCATGAAAAGATGGTTCAAAGCATACGATGACGAAAATCAGTAGATTTCCTCTTAATTCATACTTAGGCATAATTACTTCATATATACTTCGACATAATTAGATAATTTTCCAATAAGTATTGTTTTGTTATAGAAATATATATTTAAACTACTCATACTTGTATTCTCACAGCAGTGGTTCTATACATATTTACAAATCATAGCACGTATGCGCAATGAGAGATTATTTACTAGTTGGATGTCGTTTATACGTATCTGTTTTAAAAAGTATAAATACCGTAACATAATGTCATTCAGATTGGCCACTACCCGGTATTTGAGCATATAACTATAAAGCCTATACAGACATCGGAGTACATATCTTAAATAAAGTGCTGATTCAACGTACGATTATGTGACAAACATTTTGGTATAGACTTCAGTAAATAACATACAATATCGAACACATATAATATATGAAACAGAAAAATGATTGATAAATAACTAAAATTGTATATACCCAACCGGTTATCAAAAGAATAGTTAAGGAACAAATAGATATAATTGATATTGGCAACCCTTAACACCGACACACTGCTAAGCTCCATGTAACCGAGCGTGCAGCATGCGTATAATAGGACGAGTCTAACCTCTGGCGGGGCGAACTTGTAACTCACGGTGTTGGAAGGCACCATCTCGTCGATCTTCACGGAGGAGGGCGCGACGGTGACCATGCTGCGTTGTCGCGCGGGAACAGCCACGCGCGCTGTTGATGGCTCTGGGTGTTCCTCGCGTTGGTTCTCCGTAGCTATAGTGTACGGCAGCTCGGAGGGGAACACTTCGTCCCAGTACTGATCCCTTATCAGCTCGGGATGCTCGTGGTGCATTTCGTCTACTATCATGTAGGAAACCTGTGCATTTACAATAGAATGGTTAATTCTCCAATTAACTAGTAAATAAGATAAAACAAATATTATAATTTGAACATAAAATACAGCATGTGCTGAAAATGCTGGAGGTTTTAAGAACAACAAGAGATACGAATGTAAGCACAGATCTTAGAATGCTTACAGCATATTTCAAAATAAATTAAAGTTAAAAAAATAGGGGAAATATTTGCTCGCTTTCTGTTATACACTCAGAAAAAGCAATATTAGAATTTCTTCATCAATCATTATATGTAGGTATTGTTTAAATTTTGGTCATTAATACAGATACAATATCCCTTTAATATGGTTGAGTGTAATGATGGCTGACTCATCCGTCACACTCGTGAACGGATGCTGCTTGTGGGGATTGGTCTGTTCCGGTTACGAACATTGATTAGACTATTTGCTTTAGCAATATCATATGCTGGTGGTCACACATTTTTCCCAAATTTGAATTTAAAAATTAATCTGTATTATTGTAAACATGTACAACATTTATTTGATAAGAATACGAGCTGAGTTTCTTGTCAGTTCTAATCTCGAAATCATTCCGAACTGACGGTAGATTTGAAATATCATAAGAGTCTATAATAGACCTACATGAATAAAGATATTTTGAATTTTAATATACTAATTTAAAGCAATACCTATGATTATTTTCGTAATGTTTTAAAAACTTATTTACTTATGTATAATATATATATATATATATATATACCTATGTAGGTACAACTTACACAGAAATTATTTTCATTAAGAACATAGATAACCTTTCTTAAGACTTACCTGCAAATCTCTGTCTATCAACCAATTCACTTCAAAGTCATCGTCATCTTCACCGAAGGGATTTATTAATGATTCCGCGACTTTCAACCAGCCCATGTAGAAGAAGAATTCTAATGTACTAAATATAGGAAAGTAGAGATCTATATTACTTATTTGGACCGAATCACTATGGGAATGTAATTTGTTATCAACCCACTGGCTACCCAAAGCAGAAGTTATAAAATATGAGTAAACGGCTATGGTAACTACCTGAAATGAGAAAAATGATTGTTAATATAAACTAAACTATAGAATTAACCAGAAGGCTTGTATCACGCTACATTTTACTTTACTAATTAAATTAATAATGTACCTGGACATGTATGGAAAATATATGTCTATATCTACCTGAGTATACACTAACGGCACGCTGATAGTATCGTAACTAAGCAATAGACCAGCTTGTCCTCTAAATTTATTTAATTCATCTATAATAGTTTTCACAGCAAAGTCATCTCGTATTCTGCCCTCTTTGCGTGCTCTTGTCACTATACTTGTTGCCCAAACTATTGGTAACCTAAAACGGTAAAAGTTACAACACCTATAACCTATAAGTTACACCACCTACAATACACATATTTCAATAAGAAAAATAATTTCATATTGAAATATGTGTATACACAACAGAGTCCATTCTGAGCCGCCATTCCTTGAATTCGACTCAAACTTTTTATTTGCTTAACATGTTATTAGATAATATATAATCAACAATATTTATTTTTAGGAATACCTACATCTGGAGAATGCTTCGATAATTCCCGAGTATAATTAACAGAAAATTTAATTATGTACTATAAACAATTAGAAAATACCTAGTACATATATCTAACTATTCAAAAATAGTATTAAAGAAATTAAAAAAATACTATTCTGTTCAAAATAAAGTGGATTCGAATTTCAAAACCAGTGAAAAGTGAACATTGGAACAAAACAACCAAAGAATTATTGGGAGTTCTTATTTTACTACCTAATTATTGAAAACCGAGTAAGTCAAGCAGATCATTTATGTGTAATAGTGTTACATATAAAGATTCTGGGAAATAATGCTGACTCAGTTGTCAGTCGTAATATGTATCTAATAGAATATAGGTATGCGTCTAGGTATCATTGTTTAGGTATTTCCTTGCTGTAAAATGGACATGCTGATATTCTGTATATTTATAATTTGTTTTTATATGTTAAAAATAAATTTAGAAAGTCAATGATCCCATCGTGTAAAGCCAGTAGGTAATAAGTACTTAATTAGTACGTATTACTTATATGGTACCACTTAAATAGCTATTACCTACGTTAAATGTATGTGAAATTACGAAAGACTTAATTTTTTTATTTTCATACTCTTTATAATCGGGACAACAATATCTAAAAGTTTTTTCATGTTATTTAATCCCAATTTTCGAATTCCACTAAGTACTTAAAAATATTTTGACTTTTAAAACCGTCTAGTGTAACCTAACCCAACAATCATTCGCAAAGTTATTGATATCGGCCAAATAATATTGTACGTCTTCAAAATTCGCAAAATAAAATTAGGCCCATACGACAAATATCGCGAGTCAATTTATATTTCTGCCACAAAAAAATAATTGAGCTGTTGTGCTATTGTCCTTGGCTTTACTGAAGTCAGTCAGAGAGTTGTATTAATTGAAAGTAATAATTATCTTGTAATCAAGCTGTATGTACGCTTAGAAATTGCTGTGGCCATGCGACTATTTATCATATGTGTTAACTACATATCTACACTTTAATTGTAATTTAATAAGTAGCAATAATTATAGATATCCAACAATATGTAATGCTAGAATAGTATTTATGAAACTACATAATATTTCATACATATTACATATATTCAATCTTCCTCACGAATTAAATTGATTTCATCTCGTAAAACTTGATGCAGCACGATACTTTAGAAAATCTATTAATTTCACTACAGTATTTGTGTTGGAATTTAAATGGAATTATTCAAGCCTCTGTGTAGCATTCTCTATATTATTTATATATAACGTACCAATGTTTGGACGGTTTAGGAAATTTATCATTGAGATTGTCGAGAATAATTTTCTCGTTTTCTAGTAAAAGACCGGCTTCCACGAAGTTGCTTAGCATTGGAAAACGTTTCTTGACTCGAGGTGAAATCATAGTGAGCACCATTGTGAGACATAAGCACACATAGCGGACGATTGTGCGCCGCATCAGCCGCCCCCGCTCGTCCTGTTGGCATAAATGTTACAATAATTCCACTGTATAACTACATCCTGTTTTATTCTTGTTACATTAACTAGAACTACCCGCAATTTATCAGAATCGCGTAAATAAAGGTAAGAGAGCTGAAATGATAAGAGGAGAAAACATCATCATTTAGATAAGATAGGATATTTTCAATCCTAACCATACGCCGATCTTGCGACGCTTGAAACCAAACCCGATTAGGCGTCTTTCATTGGGTTTGGTTTCCTATTGTTGAAATATATATTAGAGCTAAGAAATTTTTATGTGGGGACTATTGCCCCATAGCTAACAGTGTACCTCCCATGTTAGGTTGATATCCCCACTGAAAACCATCGTGGTTCCTGAATACCACTATTAGTATTTTTTTTATTGTGAACTGACTACGGTTATGTCATGAAGACAATTTGATATTACGCTCTATGAAAATAGAGCGTAATATCAAATTGACTTCATTGAAGCTAATATTGATAAAATAAAGATGCCTATAAAAACTTATCAATATACGTAACAATATTTTAAGAACGACAAAATATATTATCGTGTTACTTAATACAAAGATAAGTTTAAAATTTAATATAGACAGAATGTTTTTAACAAATTTTTTTGCGACAGACACGTTAAGAATGAAATATTGAAATAATCAGTATTCATTTTTTTATGACGAAAGAATTCCAATTAGAAATCTAGCGTGTTGTATGTATTGTGAGAATAGTGACGTAATCTGAGTAGATCAATTATCACATTTTGATCAAGACGATTCTAAATCAAAACAGAGACACGTGAATGAATTAAAAATCACGTTATGAACGCAATAAATAGGAAATAGTTACATAGATATCCATCTACTTATAAACTTATATGCCTATGAATCATAAACATTGAAAATTTTCCTGTAAATAGATGTAACTATTTCATATATTTAAAAAACGTGAACATTACGCATACGTGTGCTAATGTCATGAGATTATTAAAAAAATCATTGCCATTTCATAATAGCGAATACATACTGATTAATATATAATATTCTATGATATATTATACGATAATAACTTATATCTAATATCCTAAATGTATAAATATATATTAAAGACAATTAATTACATAAATTAGTGTTATCTTAGATAATGATTGACTAAGTAAGTACTTCATACATATCAAAGATAAGATAAAACGAGCACAGTGAAACGACTTATAACTACAGCATTATTTTTTAACTAGACATACACAGTCACTACGAACTCGCTGCACATATCAATTACGTTTGTGCTATTTTGTGTATAGGTAGGGCAAAACCTGATTAGTAGAATTCGCTGATTAATACCTAATAATGATATCGATCGAAATAGACATCTTGGTGATGTCATTATGACGAACTGAACGGAGCGGTGAAAAATATCGTACATACTTGCCCATGAATAGTGGCCGAAACAAATACTGCTATAGAGTCAGGCCATGGTATAGTTGTGTATTGATTCCACCAACGATTCATCACAACTGTCACGTAAAAGCCCAACACAAAAGATAATGGTATCACATTTCCGTGGAAACTGCAATAGTTTACCACACCTTCAAACGTCCTGCGAAAGTTACATACTTTATGTTACATTGCCTGTTATGAGAAACCAGCAATTTCATCCGCGTAAAACGGATATACTCGTATCAATTAATTAACCAGAAATTATTAGGATATAAAGTGGGCTATGTCCTTCGCATCTCAAATATTAGGTACCACTATGACATATTTCATGACAAGTGGCTAAGTCGGCGAAATAACAAACACACAAATTTAGATAAAACAAGTAATTTCTTTCACATTTAATTTTAAATTTTTCTAATGGTATTGTTATAAGGCCATAAATAATAAAACATTTCTATATTCAAATTGATAATCGTATGCTTACCTTTTGGATTCCTCACTTAAAAATAGACGATAAGTTAAATTTAAAATATAATATAGCATTAAAAATACTAGTAGGTCCAGCCACACCAATTTGTATATACTGCCTCGCCATCTGAAACAATATACACCGTCTGTTTAAAGAAGTTGAGAATAGTTCTTTTGGAATGCTCTTACTGATTTGTTGTTTTCGTATAGATTTATATAACAGTATTTGAATAGAGTGTTATGAATACTAATTTGATGACAACCATTTATTACTATGCATATAGCAGTTTTATCACCGAACATTGAATGGGGCTTACGTCATTTTACTGACTGTAACGACGATAATGTTATTTGTTCTTGTACTATATTAAAAATTAATACTTAATATGTAATGGGTCTTCGATATTTAACATAAAATATAATATGCACAACATTTGTTAAAATTTCTTAATATTTTATACTACAATTTCTATAGATTACCAAAACAATCATAAAAATATGTGAATTGATGACGATATTACCGACTTAAACACAATCTACAGACACATTTCGAAGAAGTTTAGGATTCTCGAAGATAGTTAAAGACCTTTCAGAGTTACTGTTCTAGGTTTTATGTCGCTCAGAACCTAAAAATAAGAACGCATTACATATACACTATGTGTCTAGATATATACATATCTATTATACAGTGCTTGATGCTAAACCGGAAATAATTATGCAACAGAAAAATGTTCAAGCTTATATAGGCACCGGTTTGCTGTAGTCGATAAATATTCCAACAAAAACATAAATGTGAAATGATAGCCGAGTTTAATATTATGATATATGCCTTGATTGTTGACTTCTACGACAAAAGAGTTGAGATCTAAATGGGTGCCAAGTTCAATGGTCTGTCCTGAAATGTATTTATAACAATATAAAATATCATTTCTTCTTATAACTTAGGATAATATACTGTAGCCTAAGGTCTGACTATAACGAAATGCCTCTGGTCATCTGGAAGTGGGTTATAATTTTGATCTATAGTTGATCAGTGATAAAAATGAAGATTTTTGGACATTAATATCTAAATAACCGTTTGAGATATGTTTATGAAATTTGGAATACATATTTATCTCGCAAGTTTCAATATATGAACCAAATTTGACAGGTTTATGTGAAAGAGTTTTTGAGTTATGAGGGGGTCAAAAGTGGCTCTAAATGGTTCGTGTAAATATACACACGGTGCTGCTCGCCAGTTTACTTGAAACTCGGCTTGACACGCTACCGCGTGTCTAGATATTTGGATTATGATAGATACGTCAGTTTGGTAGAGTTTCGGAATATCGATAATGCCGGAAATCCAACTTCGTATACATGTAGTTAAAAAGTAGGTATTACCGTACAATATGGCGAGTACAGAAACAAAATAAACATAAATTTTGCAAATATTATACCAATTATACGTGCTCTGCACAGCCCTTCTTTCGCACGGGTGAATACCTACTGGTATGTACTAATGACATTCACCTACAATAGCAAACTATGTATTGTATATATTAACAACACGGAAAAAATGTCTAAATGATAATGAAAATCGTATCATGCATATGCATTATATAAATATATGAAAGACTGGTCTAAATTAGCACTTAATCAAATTTGATTCTAAGTATTATAGAATGTTAAGGTTTCTTAATTGGCAACGCGCATGGGATACCTCTAATGAATGCACAGGCATAGGCCTACCGTAACCGTTTACCATCAGATGAGCTGTATGCTTGTTTTCCGCATATGTGGTATAAAAGCAATAACCAATCTACAACAAGTTACAGTTAATAATTTTGAAGTAAGAAACAGACAGACGAAAACAGCGATTTATATTTCGAGTATCTCGATATAAAATAAAACAACGTCGCTGTTACTATTAATAAAATTTTGTATATATAAAATTAATAAAACATAGACAATATGACCATTATATTTAGCTTTTCCGGATGACACATGCTTTAAGATGCGAACAAAGAACAAAAACATTATTACAAAGGTACGAAGACCAAATAAAAATGTACACTAAACCGCCTAGCCATTTTAGTTATTACTAGTTTAAATCCTTTTGTCTGAAGAGTAGCCCGTGATAATGGATTGTTATGATGTCATCATTATTACGACGAGTAGGTATAAATGGTTGTAATAAATGATGTATTAACAGAACATGTATACCAATGTATAAGTAATCTTATTTACATAATCATACCAAAATCTTTCAATATGCAATCATCACAGTACTGCTAGTCCTGTTAGATCACATCATCCAGTTCTCGAAATGAGAAAGATCACCAGGGTCTAATTTATCGGCCATCTATTTTCAACTGGCAATATAATAAACAAAATTTGTATTAGTAGTGCAAAAAAAGCATTAGAGATGCAATGCAAATATTGTCCGTAGAAGTTATATTTATGAGCATCTAGAAACACAATGTTTACATTATTTATTCGGAACCGTCAGGTTTGTTCATACTTGGCGCTTATATTGCAAACCCTTAATAACGAAATCCAATAGTAACTTTTCATTTAAAATGTTTCCATAAAAGTTATTAATGTTAAAAGTAAGTTTCAATTATCAAATTTCCCCATGATAAACGGATAGAAGAACGTTTAATTTGTAACTTCAGCATCCACATACCACGATATCTCACGATCTTCATTAATGCACCTAACAATAATTTACACATATCAAGGACAAGCTAAGAAGTATCGTCACAACTCACTTCACGGCCATCTTTCTAAAAGATTTATATATAGCATTTATACAGACAGTGTTTTCCAAGGCAGATTAAAGTGAATCACTGTAGCTCCACTGATTCACTTTAACTGCGTACACTTTCTTCTCCATTGCTTTGCGTGCATGCATTCTGACAAATATTGTTTGCTTACTATCACAGAGTATTTGTATAATTACTTACTATACACATTACTGAATTTACCTAGACAAACTCTTTTTTTGTAATGCTTATTTGCAGGTGTGACAAATATATTTACTTTAAAAATAAAAAAGCCAATGGAGCTTGGATCCTCTATTTGTCTCCTAATTTTACTTATTAAGTTAAAAAAGTTGGCCATATCTTTCTCTGGCACTTTGATTTGCTCATCGCTCACATAATTATTTTAGTGTTTGTATTATGTTCAGTAAATTCTGGTTACCACAGTGGTCTGGATGTGTGGTTATTTCTGTCAGTTCTGGGTAAATAAATTAATAATATGTACACACAATACATACAATAGCTCGTTTGGTAAGATATTACACATCAACACAGTACTGCAATCAGACAATAGTTTTTATCATTTTTATGTTATAAATTATTGACCTTGTAAAGCAAAGTGGGAGATAAATTACAGCTGGCTGCTGCCGTGTTGCACGCACACGTCTAAACAATAAAAGGTATTAAATCAACACCATGTGACTTCGTGTAAGCAATAACAAACTCAGAATCGTGTATTCCTGATAAATTATAGCAGAAGAAATAAAATTCGCCAAAAATTAATTCGACTAAATTTACATTTATATGATACTGATTTGATCACGTAGTCTGTAAATTGTGTTAAATTTTCATCATTTTTCTTGTTTACCACTAATTGTAAACAAGAAAAATGATGAAAATTTAACAATCCCGTTATTGTTATATTATTTTATTACACCCACATATGGGAAATTTCTTGAAAAAAAAAAAACAAATTTATAAATTTGCCATCCATATTTTTCACGTTTTCTTTAAATGATATAATTTATTCGTCCGCTGTAAAGACGTAAATAATGTAGACATGACTTCTTAGTCCATCAGCCATACGGAAAATAACAATAAGGTCAAATTGATGTAATTCCATAGTAAAAATAATGAATGAAATTAAGGGGGTCTTCCTATGTGATGGGTTGAAAAAATCGATTTTTTTTTTCATAAATTGCTCCCTTAACATGTCTAGAATACGGTAGTAAAGCGATTTTAGAAAATTCGAAGTCGTTTTAAAGATACAGCAGGTAAAAGAAAGAGCGGTTCGGAGCGGTGAGTTGGCAGTTAGAGACCGGGCCTATTGTGTACCGTCGGCTTTATACCTGGCCTCCCTTTTATTAATATATTTGTTTATACAAGTTTAGACACGTTTCTACAGACTTAAACAGAAATTTCTATTGTTATAATATTTTACCGAAGTTATTTTAGTCTTGGTTGAACTTCGAAGAGAGCAACAGCTACAAATTATTTTTTTTCATAATGAGTGGACGGAAAGGAAGTACGAGTGGAAATGTTCATCCTGGTCGTAGTAAAAAAAGAAAGTTTAGTGGAAACCCTTAGCATCAATTTTGTCCAGAAGGCGAAGACAGTTGGTGTAAATGGCGTAAGGCTGAAGCTAATAATGAACTGGACCAATTTCATCACGATAAACCACCTCTAATTCCGCAAGTCCAAGAAGCTATCAAACCGGTTTTCGAAGATTTATCGAAAGACGAATTATTAATTCGTTGTTTAGGAGCAGAGACACAAAACAATAACGAATCTTTGAATTCTTTGATTTGGACTTTCGCTCCTAAACATCTTCATTCTGGTCCCAAAGTTGTTGAAATTGCTAGCTACTTAGCAGTTATTATCTTTAATGAAGGTTTTCAAGGTAATTTAAAAGTTATGTCGATTATGGGATGCCCTGTTGGTCGTGAAGCCCAAGCGTATGTTGAGAAACGGGATGAAAAGCGAATCTTACGCTCTGAGCGGCGCGTAAGTGATGTCGTTAAACAAGCCAGGATTGACTCAAGAGCTGAACAATCTGCTTTAAAAGAGTTTCACGAGGAAGAGGAAGGAATACTCTATGGACCAGGCATCGCCGATTGAGAGTAAGTTGATATTTTAATAGTTTTTAACGGACTTGAAACTTTAAACGCGTTTTTCTCAAAACTGTGTTTTTCAAACTTTCCTCCATTGTATCTCAGAAACGGCTGGACCGAATTACTTGAAATTTACAGGGCACACTCAATATATGTAAACGCATGGAATGAACTATTATCAATCGAAAATTTTCAAAACTTCGATTTTTTTATAGCAAAAAACAAAAAAAAAACGCCTAATTTGCAACTTTTATTTCAAATGTCTATCAAAAATC